ACTGTTCACTGTGCAGTGAACAGAGCAGTGTCGTCACATCCTATCTTTGTTTAGGCGTTTGGAATTTCCCACTTTTGTTTGTTTGTTACTTAAACGGCCAAAAGGCTAACTGATTTGGATTAAAAAGCCCCTCTGAAAGTGGGTGCCACAGATAAAAATGCCCTCCATGTACTGCCAGCATTATCAACACCCTCATACAAGTCCAAGGTTGATAATCAGCTAAGCTGAAATCCAGTTGATTGTGTTCAAATTAACATTCCTCATTAAAGCCTTCAACCTTATTGTTATTGACTGTGCCATTGACTTTATCTTCCAGCTCTTCGATAGGAGCAACCCCTTCTTCACTATTATCTCAAATGCATTGAACAGAGTTCCTATTGACACCTGGGGGATTAACATACATTATACCTTTTACTGGATAAAGAGGAATGGATGTAAGTCTGCAAATAGGCAGCTGCTGGTGTCAGCTGTGTGCTCTTCAGAGTGGATGAATAAAAATTTCTCACACCAATGTGAAAACCCTAAATAAAGAAGGAACAGCACAACCCACTGTGGGACTTTGTTCCTTACTCATTTGCACTGACTTTGATATCATTTATGAAATGCGTTGTATTTCTTCAATATATGCTGCTCATATGTATCAACATTTAATTTGGTCTTTGGTTCATGTGTGTGAATATAAATACAAGCCTCCAAAGTCAGGCCAGGTCTATTAGGGAAACAGCTGTAACATTTACAGATTGTGATTAGGTTTGTTTCTGAGTAGTCTCATGACATTTGGAGATGCACAGCAAAGTCCTCAAGGACACACAATTTATGCATCTAACAGCTCAATCACTGCCCATCACAAATAGATCCAGATTTTTTCATTTGGTGGGCCTTGAATCAACTTCATCAAGTGTAATACCTCAGGACGAAGCAATCACTCGGGACATTTGTGCTCAGAATATTTGTGTGGCAAAATACTTGAGCTCAGAGCTCAAATTCATGAGTTGTTTCTGTTTGTTTCTCTATCAGACATACAAACACACACTTTTTTTACAGCCTCCACAATTGGCTTATTTAGCCAGACTTAATGAATTCTGCCCATATGCCCTGAGCAGCTGCTATGTTGCCCCTTCCTCCCGCCCCCCACTGAGCTGCGAAGTGCCCATCCATGTAGAGACAACCTCTAGCTGTCTCTTTTAGAAGGCTAAGCCTGCCACTCCTCTGCTGGCAGCCGGCCTGTGCTGTCAGAGGTGGACTGTGGACGGGCTGAGGACTCAGATTAGGGCCCGGTGATCACAGGTTGTGGCTGGCCCCAAATGACTGGCCCGAGCATCGGTGGATCAGAAAGGGGATTAGAAAAAGAGAGAGAGATCCAGAGATGCTGTTTGGCATGTGTTTGCATCCAGCTTCTCAAAGTGACCTCTCTCCACTGCCATGCTGCCGCTCTCTTCTTTTATTCCCTCCATATCTCTCCATGTGTACAGTACTGTATGACAGAATGACCTCTCACTTTCTTGGTGCAGTGAATTCAGCTACTATATATTCATTATTTCTAGTGAGGAAGACAGTTGTGTTCTTAGAGAGCTTTGTGGTTATGATGGTAACTTTCAGATGAGCATGGTGTCACCAAAAGGTGAGCTGAGTTGGAGGCCGAGTTTATGCTGTGTATATCAGACCAGACGATATGGGCCTCGCATGGGTTTAGGGTGTAATTTATATTGCCTTGACATTTTTCTATTAAAATAATGGAGCCATTATTGTTGTAAGAATCCACACTGCTCCACTGCATGCTTCTGTAATCAGATATTTCATTCAGAATGCTTCAGTAATGATACAGTATTTAAAATCCTTTGATTCAATGTAACATATGCTACACCGTGACACACCAAATCTCATGAGTTTATGTAGGAAAAGAAGTTTTCTAATGTGAATCTGCTCTGTTTATTTTAAAGACCCACTTTAAAATGTTGTGGCCAGCGTGGGCCAGCTGAGCACAGGGAGTTCTCAAACCATTAGGTTTAAATGGGTAATTTATATGTATTTTTATTGGGTCTCATGGTGGAAATGACTTTTCATTTTGCAACAATGAAAACAAACCCAAGGAAGTAATACTGTTTTAATAAAAAAAAATGAACGAAGGTCCCATTCATGTAATGTTTTTTCCTGCTCCTTGTCGACAGGCTTGTCTTAATGTATTTTGATATTGGGCACTAATTGGAAGAATAGAATAGGGATAATACGCTTCCAGCTAATATGCTGTGGTGTTGACAGAAGTTTATACATCTTATCTGATCTCAATATCTGCCTTCCATATGGCCAAAAAGCAATATGCTGACGTGTAATTAAAATAAATGGGGAGATGTGGAGATAGCTGGGGCCCTCAGATACAGAGTGAGGGGTGAGGACAGACGTGCTAAAGCTCAAGGAATATTAGAGCCAGTTCATTCCACCAGGGGCTGCACGTGAGAGGGTCCCCGGCGGCTGAACTGGCCGGCGCTGTATCAGCCAGGTGCTGTGAACAAGCCACAGGAGGATGATTATCAGTTTAAAAAAGGCACAAACATAAAGACACCCCCCTTTATAAATCCAGGACGAGGTCATGATTTACACATTAATTTATAACAGAAGATCAGTTTGAATTCTGATGGTAGAAATAATAAATGCAAATAAAACCATATTCAAATGGCTCTTGTGCCCTTTAAAACAAGCCTCAAAAAGCGGCTGCAGTATTGATTTACCACAAAGACTTCATATTTAAAGTTTAAAGCAGAAATTCTCACCACACAACTAAGGCAGTCAGATCAATATCATATTTTGATCAAAAGGGGAATTTCCTTTGAAACAGCTAGATTAAACAGATGTTTTATTTTTCATTAACTATACTGCACCTTTAAAAGCCTGCAGGGGGTTGTGGGAGAGGAGGGGGAATTAGTCCACAAACGAGACAATGAAAGGGGTATTTTTTAAGACCTAAAGTTTGACGGGTTGAAAAGTATTTTCAGTTTTGTCAGTGCAATTTTTCCCCTCTCTTCTTTAGTTAATATTCCAGCACTTGAAGTCCTTTTTTGTTTACCCCAGGTGGGCTTGGACATGAAATAGCAGGGACGCTGGCAGCTTAGAATGCCCTGGGCATCTTATATGGCCATCATGTTGTCAAAGGACCCGGGAGGGGGAGTGAGAGGGCCATGAGTTTTTTTTTTTCAAGTATAAACCATGAGACGGTTAAAAAAAGAAAAAAAGCTTCTGTTCTTTTTTAACTGTGAGATTGGCTGAATTCATTATTATTTCCCCTCATATGTTTTTAGTGCGGTCGAGGGTTGGAAGGCAAGACAGGGGTTTGAACATGAAATACAGTCGAGCTCTACATTTGTCATGTATTTTATTATTTCCCTTCTTCACCTCTCAGTCATGTACGCAGGGTCCTTCATTTTTCACATGACTGGTTTTCTTATCATTGTGGGCCCTCTGTGCTGGCCTATGAGTGACTTAAAGGCAATAAAACACAAAACATTCTGTAAAACATGGATGCCTCTCAGGTTGTGAAGGCCCTGCAATGTCTCTCTGGGAAATTATGATAATAACTCAGTGGCGGTTGGAGTGGCCGGGTCACTGCGGGGGGGGCTGGGGGCAATGGGAAAAGGTTCAGCGAGGTCCTCTGGGCAGGGACAGGTCAAGGTGCCCTGTTGGGCCTTGCCACCCACCCGCCTCTGTTATAAACTCTTTCTATCATGCAGGGTGCTGCCTGCAGCCAGGTACATGGCAGAACCTCTTTGTCTTGTGGATGCTGGCGATAAAGCAAGGGTTGATGGGAGAGTGGTTGTGCTGGCCCTCTGGCAGCGGTGAGGTCAGCTGAGGAGCTTATTGTGGCCAACAGAGGAAAATGCCTGAGTCAACACAACTCTATTATTTGCCCTCTGAGGGTCACAAACACACTTCTGCTGCTGTGTGCTTTAAACTTATATTTTTGTTCTTTTTGAGGGGGAGACATAAGGCAGCAAGACAACTGTGTCTGGTCATGATTTTTGGTGTCTGGATTTGTTGTTGGGTAGAGGGAGTGGCTGGAGGTAGCCCCACAACACCTCTCGAGTGTGTGAATGAGAAGGAGCGAGGACAGGAAGAGAGCACAAGCTCCACCACTGAGGTGCTGACAGAGGTGACCGAGAGGCTGAGATAGCACCTGTTCCAACCCAGCACCCTCCCAGCTGGGCCTTGCAAGAGTCTCAGCCTTCTCTTGGCATCTGTGATGGGGGCTGGGGCCGGTCCCACCTCCAGAGCTTAGTCCACCTCTACTTTGCTTGTGGAAGAGGGATGAGAAATGCTTGAGGCTCCATCTGCTGAGGGCTCGCCGTGGTCTCTGCGGCCCGCCTGGGGAAGGGGGTTACTGGGCCTCCACGACTCTGCCACGGGGGTCTCACAGTGGTAGGCCATGGTGCGGCACATCACACGTCACATGCCAGCTGGCCAGGTTTTTTCAACTGTAAACAGAGACTAATGACCATTCAACATACACACACACCAAATGCATAGCCCTAGGTAGAGTGGAGGAGGGGAGCCAGTGTGGAGGAAAAAGCTTAGTTTGATTTGAATAAAGGAAAGTCACATCCTGAGGTTACTTTACAAGATCTGCTGCCACAGGAGAAGCTATTGGAGGCTGGGAATGAGCTCAAGGTCACAGTGGGATGTTACAAAACCTAGTCCACTACAACACAGTCCACTGGTTTCCTGTATGTGCACAACATCACGGGTGTCCCAGTGTTCTGCAAGGCCCAAGGCTGAAGCTGCTCCACCTGCTGAGTCTGTAAAGCTCTCGTGTTGGGTTGCTGTCATGTATGTGGCTGTGAATTTTGGGAAGGAAATCTGCACCTTACTTAATAAAATAATCTTAATTTTTGAAGGCCTTTCCACTTGTTTGCCCCTAGAATTGTCAGAACGTTTCACCCTCCTTACAAGATTTTTAAAAGAAATTAAAATACAAATGCAATATGATAATGAACATCAGTTGGTGCGCCATACCTTTACTTAAACCATATGATACATTCAGTGTATGTCAGACCAGCCTTGAGTTGTGTCTCCCAAGTGAAGGACATCTGTGTCTTCATTTGTCCTGTCCCGTCTCATTCAGGAGCTCCTTGTCCTTGTCTTCAAAGCTCGGTTTTCTCAAGAATTCCCCTCTTTCAATCAAATGACAAATATTTTTAGCATCCGCCTACCAGATCATTTCATATATGCCCTGCTATCTTGTTTGTCCTAATGTCCTTAACACATTCATTCATGGATATAAATATATCTGTGGATATAAATAAATATATTGAATGCAGAACTGGAGTAATGTGACATTGAATGTTGTTCCCCAGTTAGGCAGGGAGAGGTAGAGAGGTCACTCAGCTACACTGGGCCACTGGCAGCCCAGGCCCTGCTGGTCCAGTGAAGTGACTTGGTTTCATCTACAAACTTGCAATAAATATCTGGCCATCATTTATTTTAATTCACTCCTTTCTTGCTCAGATGGAATGGATTCTTAACCTTGTAGGACAAGGACACTCGTATGCTGCCTGCCTTGCCTTAGCTGCTAAATTATTCTTCATTCTTCAGGGGGAATAAAAAAAAACGTAGTCCGGCGTTGCTCAAACTGTCAGCTCCAATGAAAAGCACGCCTGAAAACGTTGTCACTGAACCCTTGGACAAGGAAAAGAAGGGGAGTGGGCAGTTAAAGACAGAGTGAGAGAAGTGGGGGAGAGAGAATGGGGGGAGTCAGCAGCCTCCAGAGTGATTTATTTGCCAAATCAGGACACAATGAGTCGATTATGAGTCCTCTAATAAGAGAGAGTGTTTGGGGACCCACTAATTGGGCATGATTGAGTTGCAGTCTGGGAGCTGGGCGAAAAGGGAACCTGGTCGGCGGCTGTCATGCAATCATCAGCTAATCAGAGCTTTGAAATTAAAACTGCGTGTTTAGGGTAGAGGACGGGATAATGGCAGGGACTTGCCGGGGCTCTGAGGCTGCCTAAGGAGGCTGTTAGAGGTGTATGCATGTGTGTGTTTGTTTGTTTGTTTGTGTGCATTTGTGTTTATAAGTAGAGTATATGTATATGTGCATTGGATAGGACAGACATATGTCTGTGTGTTTGGGGCCTTTCATCTCTGACTGTGGTTTGTGCTGGTGTTGATGAGGACAGTGAAGCAGATGTAATCAGCCCAGTCCCTGTGCTAATACATTAGAGAGAGAGAGGGTGCGTGTGTGTCCTCAGCTGTGTAGTCCATATTCAGGTTGAACACAGAGTCAACGTTTAGGCTTTTTAAACAATGGACAGGGGATGACACAGGAGGTAGAGCGGGTTGTCTCCCAACCGGAAGGTTGGCTGTTTGATTCCTGGCTTCTCCAGTTCACATATCAAAGTGTCCTTGAGCAAGACACTGAACCCCTGGTGAGTGAATTTGGGAGTGTGAATTGGCAAATAATGTGAAACCACTATGATTGTGCTGCAATGCATAGAAAGGCATTATACAAGTATAAGACCATTTACAGAAAAATTATATATATATAAACATTTAAACTGCTATTTTGAACAAACAAGTTTAACAAATATCAGTCTTTAAAGTCCATTGTGCCCCTATGATAATGAAGTCAAACATAAATAAATCAAGAGTTTAAAAATATCCTCCAGTACAAGAGACTTGTCCTGTATCTACAAAATCACGTTCAGCAATTATTTTTCAGCCTGACAGTCATATTCACGGGTCGTCACTAGGGGGCAGTGTTTATCTGCAATGCATCGCGAGGGTAAACAGAAGGGGCTAATTGATGTCAGGTGCTTCCTGTGGCTGTATGGCTTAGACGGTTGCAAAGCAGAATATTACAGCAAACATGGATTTTTGGGGCAAAATTTAAGGCCACTTTATGCACTAACATGTAGCCTGCCCTTGTTGTATGAAAAGCGGCAAAAAGGAAGAAAAAACATAAAAAGAAATGTTCATGGATGGTGTGTGTTTTTTTTTAAAGTTGATATATTTATTGAAAGAAAGAATGAATATAGCAGACCTTTTAGAATGAAACCCACAGATGAAGTAAAAACAAACAAACAAACAAAAACAGTAAACCAAGTTTTTGGTCACTGTATAACAAACCTTCATATTAAACAAATGATTTTATTTATTTGTTTGTTTAACTTATACATTAAACATGAATAATTTCTGTATCACATACAGCCTCAGTGGCTCTCAATAGTGAGTCAATAGTCATGCTGATGTAGATTAGCCTTCAGAGTTTAGAGTTAGGAATTCCAACATATTTTAACAAATGAAGTGATAACTGTCCAGTACCCCTCCAAAATATATGCTTATTTGTAAAAGATATTTTATATTTCTATTTTTTTTTTTTTTTTGCTCATTACAGAAAACAAACTCTGTTATTTGACTGCAGAGACCACAGAAAGTGTAAGTTGTGTCCACTACCTTTTAATTAATATAGTCTCCACTGATTCCAGAAATTTAACATCTTTAAAATACATTTTTAAAACACTGTAAATTGTTGTCTCTTATAAATTAAGGTATTCAAATCAAATCATTATTTCAGATTCTCAGTAGCACTATACAAGACACACGCTTTATTTATTTCATTACTGATATACAGATGAGCCTGTTGTCATCAGTGCTTTATGTACGTAACGTAAGGGAGCATTTAGATACTTTAGTCAATGACACTTCAGTTGCTGACATTTGGTGCAGATGTGTCTCTGTGACATTTGATTTTTGAGAAAAACTTCCAGTTTTCTTCCTTGTCAGTATTTTTTTTCCGCTCTGAGCTCTGTAACTTGTCTGTCTACAAATTAGCCACCACACAAACCAGCACAGACAATATTTCTTTCAATCCTCCTAAGGCCTTGACTAATTGTACATTCACCTTACATCTAAAGAGGGCCTCACTATAAAAATCTGAAGTGGGTTTAGGCATAAATGGGATTAATTCCCAAAGAATGTCCTTTGCTCTTCCTCCCATAATTTCATTTGGAAGGTCCACAGGATGAATAGCCAAGCAGGCGGTGATGTGGAACTGGAGGACAGGCCTTGCAGGGCCTGTGCTGCTACACCACAGCCTTCAGGTTATGTTACCTTGATAATGTCACAGCTGCAGGAACCACACCGCCCACTGTACAGGACACTGGAAATCCAATTATCCACCTTCTAATGTGTGGGAATTTTTACACTCTCATTTCTTAGATTTTGGCTCCAGCTCTGCCTGAGGGCTGAGAAAGATTCCTGGGATTGTTATTCATTTATTTCCTAGGAAAAAGGTCCACTGGCTTTGTGACTGAAATCAATATAATAAGAAAGTTGTTTCTTGACAAAACCACTTGCTTAAATTGGAAAATCTGTTTATTAAACTCAGATCATGTCCTTTTAAAGCTTCTAATTTAAATCTAATTTCAACTGCATAAATACAATAACTTGACTGCACTAACAACACACAGTTATGCCCAGAAAAGCAAAGCGGAGCAAACCAAATTCATCCTGGAGTCAGCCAGGTCTTTGCGATGGCTCTATATGGGGGCAGGTCCCCCACCTGCCCGGACCCCCAACTGTTTTTAGATTTAATTAGAAGGAAGAGGGTGCATCAATTTTAGCTGTGTGGCGGCGAGATGACAGTACACAAATTGAAAGTAAGCATCTCGGTGGAGCAGGGCGGGGGTCGGTCCATCATTAACATGGAAGACAATTCTGTGTGCAATGTAACAAGATTAGAAACATTATTATCATTCTGCACTAGACATAAAGCTCTGCTACAGGAAGAGAAAAAAAAAAAAACAATCTCAAGAAGGTTCTCAGGACAGGCTTGAAAATGCAACTGTACCACAGTCGTCATAATACTCAGCTCATCTCATACCTGCACAGGAAAGTGATTTTTATACAGTCTGAGAAAATATGGAGCTCAACCCTTAAGAAGGTTTTATATTTTCCGATACTTTACCCCACACAGCAGTGATTATGTATCTCAGAGTGATTATATAGCCACCCCCTCCCCTCCCTGCTGCATCTCCAGCACAGATCCAGGGTTTCAGTGATAGGGTTTTCTTTCGGGCCGATCCGATGGAATGTGAATGGGCTCCAAGCTGCAGGAGGAGCCCTATTAATGAACAGTAAAGACAGATGAGTCTCTCTCATGCCAAGCAGGTTGCCTCAATTGGATTAGTGGAGCTGAGACTGGAATGGATAGCTGTCTATGTGCCAAGTGGCCATTAGCTCAGCCAATATGCCAATATGACTGTACACAGAACAGGCTCAGGGCTCCCCTCAGTGATCTCAACACTCAAAGCAGCAGCTCAGGATTTCTAAAGCATTACAACTGTACAGACACTAATGAGCAATAAACATTCATCAGCTTTGATAGTATGAGGGTTAAACAGTTGATTAAATCACCTGAGCTAGTTTTGCCTATTGCTGTTATTGTTCAGGGCGTACAAATATCATTAGGTGGTACAAGTGATCTATCAACAGCTGTCACACTGTACATTATGAATGGAAAGCAGCCCATTCCTGACGTGTATCTGTGTTTCTGAAGCTGATGTCATGTTCCCTGCGAGGTGATGATGGGCCCCGTAGATGTCAGCGGACACCAGGGGCCCATCTTCAACCAACTATACAAATGGACATGGGTGCGAAAATCTGGGGGAATGTTATCAATCACCCTGTGTCCCAGCGGAGGAGCTGCTGGCGTTTGTGTAAAGAGTCCTCCTCATACTGATCCATATAAAAGGCTGTGTGATGTATTAGAGCAGATGAGCAGGGGCTGGCTCTGACACATGACTGACAGCTCATTTGACAGCCCCAGGAAAGTGTGGAGGGAAGTTTCAATCTAATCTAATGCTGCTGAAGGAATGAAACTGTGGTGTGAGATTATGTTTTTATGTTATATCCCCTCCAGGACAACGCAAGCTGACTGGGATGAATGTGATGTGGATGATCCCCGGTCGAGAAGGTAAGAGCACCTATGGAGTCAGATGTCACAGTTGACTCTCAATTGAGACCCCCCCTGACTTGTTTCTCTCCCCTCCATCTGATTCAGTCCAGTGAATCAGGTTTCTGAAGAAAAACGCAAGAAACTGAAACCTGGATCAAAGCTGTGAGTAAACAAAAATATTTTTGTGTCATTCATTATCAATCAGTGCTCTCATGGGGCTTCCCAAAAAGGTAATCTCTGTCATTCAATTGCTCCACCGCAGGAGCTGGGTCGTCCTGAAACAGGATAGCCACAAAACAGACATTAATATTAAGTGTAAGGGAGATCAGCTTCCCTTTGGACTTCTCTCTCTTTGTCTTTTTTTCATAAGAGCAGAATATCTCGGTAGGCCGAGTACATCCTGAAATTAGTATTCTCTAGTAGTATAAGTTTACGCTCATACCTTTAAGGCTAAGCTACGTTTTCTTATAATAAATGTCATATTTATTGACTTGACATTAAATGAGCCAAAGCTGACTTGTAAAAATATTTCCACATACCACATTCAGAGGTCGCAGAGGTCACAGAGCAGTTCTTAATTACACTAGAAATGTAAAATTATTTTACCAGAAAACTATGAAAGCCCAGGAGACTTAAACCTCCCAATGCGTGCTCCCACAATGATCAATCATAGAGGGCTAATTAGCCATTTTACAGCTATTAAAAAAGACACTCAGCCCTTTTCATTATGCCCCATCTATTTTCCCACCATTAAGGCCTTTTCTCTTTTTTCCAACTTTTGAAAGTTATTAGAAACTTCTGCTGCACTAAGGAGTAAAGCATCAACTCTCAGTTTTCTGTTGCTTTCTTCCCCTGTGTCCATTCATAGAATGAGGTCAGCAGCTGGCCCGCCAGCGTTGCGTGTCAGCTGCTGTTTTTCCACTGAAACAGACTATACTCGGGTGTTTAGCCTCTGACAGGCCTGATGTTGGCGGCCTAGCAGCCCAGTGACCACAGAACCTGATCCCACACAATCAAGCAGCTGTGTGTGCCCAGTCTAAACTCTCCTTTCCCAACCATGTCAACACACACACACAAACACATTTCTCCTTGTTTTTCTTCCTGTGGCATGCCTCTCATCTCTCCATTTCCACACTCAGCTTTTCTGTCCATATTTCCCTGTTAATTCCATGGAAGCCCTGCAAACATTTGTATTGTCTAGGTGATCATTACAATTTATGGCAGGCTGACTTCATCCAGCTTGTTAGGCCGCACTGGCATAAGTCATAATTATGTGATGGCACTGTAAGATGGAGCATCGACACTGGCCCCCTTGTCCAGGCCAGTTAAATGATATAATTAGCCCAGTAAGAGGTGAACACTCCAGATTGGATAAGTTATTAAATGTTTGGATGAACCTGAGCTCCATTTACCTAACTGCCGCTGTCTTCCTCTCACTCATGCTCTTTCCCCATTAGCCCATTAGCAGTTATGTGATACTATATGCTGATGGAGCAGTGGACAGAAAAAGTGGGTAAATTAAGCCTGACCACTGGTTGTGTTATGGACTGCACTTATGAGGTGCCACTGAAGGACACTGCAAGACTCAAGAGAACAGTACATTAGCAGGGGACATGCGACTAGCGCGGACCTGATGGTACAGTAATGCGAGCTAAGCTGAGTTTGTAAACTTGAAAAATGTCACTCTGACCTTTGTTATGATGCGAGACAGCAATTTATTTTGAGTGCATTCATTATGAACCAACATGTACTGCTGCTCCCCCAGTGAAACTAAGAAGAGACCATCCCCCACCATAAACACAGATCAGATGGGTAAATGTCAGGTTTGACCTGCTCAGTTAAGCTTTAATGGCCAGAGGGGGAAAGTAACTAAGTACATTTATTCAAGTACTGTACTTAAGTACATTTTTGAGATAATTATATTTTACTAGAGTATTTTTATTTTCTTCTACTTCCTACTTTGACTTCACTACATTTCAGAGAAAAATGTTGTACTTAGTACTCACTATATTTTTTGATAATTTTAGTTTCTAGTTACTTTTCAGAATCAGTTCAATAAAACCAATTACAGTGTAATTGTAAGATTTATTCATCCTCGGTGTAAAATTCACAAGCTACCCAGCAGTAATTCAAATGATAAGCATATAATGTAGTTAAAATGAGCTCTACCTTTGCCAGCTGCAACATTAAATGTGATGTTCACAATAATACATCAATAATTCTAATCAAATAATATGGTGTATATCAGTGTAAACATTGCCATTCTGCATAATGAGTTTATTTTTGGTATTTTAAGTATATTTTATAGTAACACTTTTGTACTTTTACTTAACATTTTGAATGTAGGACTTTTACTTCTAACCGTGTTTTTCAACTGTGGTACTGCTACTTTTACTTAAGTAAACAATCTGAGTACCTCTTCCACCACTGTTAATGGCAGGGAGAACACTGAGGTTGGACAGCATGTCTACTGCTGGGCCCTTGAGCCTCAGTGTGTGCATCACTGTGTGCTTGTGTGTATTCTACCAGAGGGTTTCACCAAGCGTGACTGCATGTTATTCACATTGACGAGTTCCATTGTTCAGTGTCAGCTTTCATTGCAAGGGGAAATATGCCTGTTGAGAGAGCTGCAACCGGAGGAAGGTGGGGGACTAACAGGACCACCCCTCTTTGCTTATAACTGCAACCCAAGGACTATAGCTTCTTTTTCAAGGAGGGTTGAGCTCCTACTCACCTCTTAGAAATAGCTGTCAAGTCCTGGCCAAACACTTGGAGAGCAGGTAGAAGCAAATATTCAGATGCGGCATACTTAAAAGTCTGCTTATATTTTCTGCCACATTCTTACAGATAGCAAAGGAGGCCTAGCTGTGTGTGTGCCCGTGCTCGGGGAGGGGTGGGTGTTATGGCGTTTGATTTGTTGTGAAGACTCAAAGCAGCAGGACTCAGCAGAATCCAGGTTGGCCCAGCAGGCCCGCTGAGATTGACACTTCCTCTCTCTGTCTCTTCCTGTGGAGAGCCTTGACAGCAGAGACCCGGTGCTGAGCTTCGTTCCCCGTTCATCATCACCAGAACCAACCACCCACAGCGGGTAGGGAGGGGGGACGCAGTTATCTGTGTCACCCCACTGTCTGTCCTCCTCCTCCCCCTGCTCTGTCTTTGGCCCTTCTCCAGAGAGATCAGAAAGCTGGTCTCTCTCGGCTCCCTGATTGTTTTTGTTCCTGTGAGCAGACAAATAGAGTTTGGCCTCTTACAAAAGAAACTGCTGGAGCTCATCTGATCTTACTGTCCTAAGGAGCAGCCTGGCCTGAGGAGCTAGTGATTGGAAAATTACAGTCCTGCTCCAGCCATATTGTCAGCGAGTCTCAGCCAGACTCTCTTCTCTTTGTGTGAAAGGCCATCAGTTGAATGGCCAGTCGTGCACTTTTAGAACACATCCATCAGTAGTGGTGAGTGATTGACTGTTGTCAGAGCTAATTCAAATCTGTGTCATTTGTATAGTAATCCTAATGGCATTAATTTCTGTCTCTAATGGCAGTGTATATGAATAAAGAGTAAATAATGCTGTGACATGTTTGCATTTAAAGTGATGCTAGTTTCTCCTAGCAAAATTCAAAACTCGCTGTATTTTAGTCAAACACATGCTCACTGAACTGGTCAGCAAATTTTGTGAAAGACAGTTATCAGAGATTTGGTCTTTGGGTAAAATACTGCGGCTGTAGTGATGTTGAAGTCGCTGGTCCCTGCTACACAAGTGGCTCTCTGATAAGTGATTACAACTGAGGGAGGTAAAAATAGGGCCTTGTCAGCACAGACCCTCCAGGTTTGAGGTAAATTTTGCCCCCTGATTGCGTGTGCTGTTGTATGTGGTGTGTTTCTGTGGGGGGAGGCAGAGTCTGAGCGAGAGAGTTTACTGTTAGCTCACTGAAGCCATCATCACCTGACGAGCAAAGACTGAAGCCTGAGTTGCCTCCCTGTCTGTCAGTTTGATCCTTTTTGTTTTTTCCTCCACCTCCTTTCTCCCGTCCACGCCTCCCTGCTTCCCTCATCCCCTATCTCTGCTCCTCTTCCACCCCTTGGCCCTGGCCCTCTGCCTGCTCTTTCGCTCACCCCCCATGTTCGCAAATCACTTCTTCCCGTGTCAGCAGGTAAATTGTTTTGTCCTCCCATTCCCTGCTTTCATTACTCTGTGTAAATTAAGCGATATGTCGTCCACCGGTGCGCGCCAGAGCACTCACTGTGCCAACGCCAAAATCATGAGATTTGGCATAATAAATGAAGACAAACTGGCAGTAGCAGTGCTCCTCTCTGAGCAGGCTCGCCTTCATTATTCGCTTAACTTGCCGGAGAAAATGACTTAACCCTGACCTGTGTATTACGTCCCATATTCACTCCTGATAAAAGCCTTTTTACAGCACACAACAATTTATATTCCAGCAAAGAGGCTGCTTTTCTCTGTCAGTTTTTCAATCTCAGCTCCTGAACACACATCATTAAACTTGTCTTGCCTTCCTGTATTTGTCCATCAGTCCTTCTTTTTACATAAAATCTGGCAGCATTATTCTGGGATGTGATGGCACCCACTCATTTTTCCCCTTGGAATGTTTGATTGGAAGAAATATAGCTGGGCCGAGGCTATCTCCTCTCTTCTGTGGAATCATGCACTTGATGAAATAGTGTTCCCCCGGCAAGAATAATAAAAACAGACTTGTGCATTACAGGGGTCTCTCAATCTGCCAGCTGGGCTGAACTGAGGTGAAAAACCCGCCCTGCCTCCTGACAGATTTTTATAGTTATCACAGCAGATAAATGGAAACGGGTGACCAGGCTGGGGAAGGCCACTCTAAGGCTGAGTGTGGGCTGCAAGGCTGGACAATTGCATGAGGTGTGGCGTGAACATTAAGGGGTCGAACACAGAGATGAAGACGCTGTTACCACCAGAGATGTCCTTTCCGACGGTTTAGAGAGAAACCTCTGTTATTGGAGCAGAGCCTATAGTTAGTTTTGATTTTTTCAGTTTCTACTGTTACACGAGATGGAAATTGTTCTTGCTTGTCTTAGAGCGTGAACAGTCAAGAACCAGTTATGGAAAGTTCTTTTGTATGGCACTAGGGCTGCAACTAAAAATTATTTTCAATGTAAAAAATAGTCTGCTATTTTCTTGA